TTTCTTGTTAGGCACATGCACATTAAGAATTACTATGTCTTCTTCCCCTGTTTTTTTATGTAATGCCCCTGTTTAACCCTGATAATTTTTTTCTTTGAAATCTGCTCTGAAATTAATATAGTTACTTCTGCTTTCTTTCAATTGTTGTTGGCATGGTATATCTTTCTCTATCCATTTAATTTTAATCAACCTATGTCTATATTTACAGTGGGTTTCTTGGGCTGGACACAATGATTCACCTCTGTAATTCAAGTACTTTGGGAGGTCAAGGTAGAAGGATCACTTGACCCCAGGAGTTTGAGATCAGCCTGGGCAACAAAGTGGGGCCTCACCTCTACAAAAACAAAATGTTATAGTGTGCATCTGTGATCCCAGCTACATGAGAGGCTGAGGTGAGAGGAATGCATGAGCCCAGGAAGTTGAAGCTGCAGTGAGCTGTGATTGAGCCACTGCACTCCAGGCTGGGTAACAGAGCAAGAGCCTGTCTCTAACTAACTAGCTAACTAAATAAATATAGATTTCTTGTAGACAACATACAGTTGAGACTTGGAGTTTTGTTTGTTTTTTATTTTTTTACTGGGGCATTTATTTCAGTCATTGATGTTCAATGTGATTATTGATATAGTTGGATTAATACCTATCACAGTTGTTGCTGTCTCCTATTCAATGCTCTTATTTTTCTCCTTGTGCTTCGACTCTTTTGAAAATTTTCACGGTCTTCATTGAGAGTTGTATATAATTCAGTTTCCTCATTTTTTATCCATTGGTTATATTTATTTATGTTATTTTTTTCTAGTAGTTTTCCTAAAGCTCACAATACACATTTACAACTAATCCAAGTCCACCTTCAAATAATATTTTTGAATATTGCTTATAAGTTGTGAGTACCTTAAAATAACAAAATCATAATTTCTTTCTCCTGTGCCTTATATCATTTCTGTCATTCATTTAACTTAAATATAAGCACGCATGGTTGATATTATTTTGAACTATTATCTGTTACATAGTTAGTCAAGAATGCAACAAATGAAAGTTTTTGCTTTACCTTCACTTACTACTTCTCCAATATTCTTTCTTTATATTAGTCTAAATTTCTGAGCTATAGTTTTTCTTGTCTCTAAATACCTTTTTTTATTAGTTTTTATAAGGCAGATGTACTGGCAGACAATTCATTTAATTTTTGAAGACCTGTATTTCTCTTTAAATTTTGAAGAATAATTTCACAATATGCAGAAGTATAGGTTGGTAATTTTTTAACTCAACACTTGAAATATTTCACTGTTGTCTATTCTTGTTTGCATGGTTTCAGAGAAGTAGGATATAATCCTTACCTTTACTCCTCTATAATAGGAGACGTTTTATTTATTTCTTCTGGCTTCTTTCAGGATATTTTTCTTCATTTATTTCATTTTTATTTTTATTTTGTAGTTCAAGAATTATGTGCCTAGGTGTAGTTTTTGGCATTTATTTCACTTGATGTTCTTTGAGCTTCATGTACCTATGGTTTCACGTCTGACATAAATTTGGAAAACTTCTCATTCACTACTATTTTACATATTTTTTCTATTCCTTTCTCTCTTTTTCTCCATCTGATCTTCCCATTACATATAAATCGCACATTTTGAGGTTGTCCCTCAGTTCTCGAATATTCTCTTTTGATTTTACTTGTCTTTGATCCTTTTGCGTTTTAGTTTTGCAGTTTTCTCTTGATATAGCCTCGAGATCAGAGATTACTTCTTTAATGACATCCACTCTGCTAATATGCCCATCAAAGGCATCCTTCATTTGTGATACAGTTTTTTAGTCCTGTTTTTTTCTTAGAACGTTTATCTCTCTGCTTACATTGATCATCTGTTCTTGCATGCCCTCTACTGTATCTATGAGGGTCCTTGGCATAACACTCATAGTTGTTTTAAATTCCCAGTCTTTTAATTCCAACGTTTCTGCTATGTCTGGCTCTGATGCTTTCCCTGTTCATTCATATTATGTTTTCTGATGTTTCGTATGCCTTGTAATTTTTCTCAATGGCTTAATCGGAGGTACTGGCCATGAATAACTACGGTAAACATGTTTTTAAAACACAGTAGTTAAAGGTGGGGTGGGGAGAAGTGTTCTATAGTCATATTATTAGGTCTCAGTCTTTTTGTGAGTTTATGCCTCTGGAATGTGAACTTTATAAGGTTTTCTCAGTTTTTTTTTTTCTCTTCTTTGAAGTAAGACAGGATGGCTAAAGTTGGCTGAAGTTAGACATTTCCCTTCCCTCAAGCCTGATGAAGATGAATTATCTGTAGGCTTGAAGCTGGTAGTTGATGCTGGTCATTATCTGGGAATTCAACTAAGACTGTAAGCAGAATGCCTACAGGTTGCCTTTCCTTGTGGCTTGACTCTCTCACAGCATAGTGGCTGTATTCTAAGAGGAAGTATCTCCAAAATATTTCCAGTTGTGAAGAAACAAAATATTTGAGGCTTTTAATGACTAGATACAGAAGTAGTAGAGTGTCACTTCTACTGTATCTTCTTATTAGTTAAAGCAGTCACAAAGCCTATACATATCTTCACATTAGAGTTGGGGGACATAAGTGAAATTCTAAGGGTCAAGGAAAAGAATGTTAGCAAAATCTCATCAGCTCTTAAGAAGACAGTGGGCAAGAACATAAATGAAAATAAAGACAGGTTATTGGAAGCTGGAGAAAGGGGAAATTGCTATCAGATAGCAACAAAGTTTGACAACATCGGCCAGGCATGGTGGCTCATGCTTGTGATCCCATCACTTTGGGAGGCTGAGGCAGGTCGATCTTTTGAGATCAGGAGTTTGAGACCAGCCTGACCAACATGGTGAAACCATGTCTCTACAAAAATACAAAAATTAACCAGGCATGGTGGCTCGTACCTGTAGTCCTTGTTACTTGGGAGGCTGAGGCAGAAGAATCACTTGCACCCAGGAGGTGGAGGCTGCAGTGAGCTGAGATCACACCACTCCACTCCAGCCTGGGTGAGAGTGAGACTCAATCTCCCAAAAAAATAAAGTTAGTTGCAACGCATTGGAACTACAAAATTTACTTAATAAACAAAATAATTTAGCTAAAGATATTTCCAAGCAGTGTTGAAAGTGTCATCTGGCTACTTCTTACTGTCTGTAGTAAAATGAAAATTAAAAAGTTAATCTAAAAGAATAATTGTTAAATATATAAATTATCCAGAGCTTCCTATGTTTAAAATATCTAAATCCTGCCTATCCAGATGGCAAGCAATGCTAAAAATATGAAAATGGTTTCCAGGAAAGGATCAAATCCAGGACATTGTCAGGAAAACACTGTCTAAAGATGAAGGGTATCACTGTGAAAACCTTTATCAAGAATTTAGAAATATCCAATGTATCAAAAATGTAAAAAAAAATAGCATCTCTAAAAATCATAGAGGCAGACCTCATAGACTCATTTCATTAAATAATGAAACTTCCAAGAATTTTAGATGTGTTTTTCTATAGTAGCCACATAGAAAGTTCAAAATAAAGTTTATTGTGACAAAATTTGTTATCAATGTTGCTTTTTAAAAATATAGTACCCCCTTAAAAAGATTTCTAAGAGACTCATCTTTTTAAACTGGTTCTTTGCTCTATCCTCTACTTATTTTTTTTTTTTTTTTTCTCTTCTTACACGCGGGCTTTATTGCATTTGGTCCACAGTGGGGTTTCACATTATCTCACGGAGCAGGGGCCCCGGGAGCAGTAGAGCCGGTCAGGTCCAGAGGGGGAGGAGGAGGGCTGGGGTTCCTGAAAACCTACTGAGGGGCCAGGCACAGGGGCTCACGCCTGTAATCCTAGCACTTGGGGAGGCCGAGGCGAGGGGGGTGCGTGGATCACCTGAGGCCAGGAGTTCGAGACCAGCCTGGCCACCATGGTGAAACCCTGTCTCTACCAAAAATACAAAAAGTAGCCAGCGTGCTGGAGCACCTGCCGTCCCAGCTACGTGGGAGGCCGAGGTGCTGTGAGTGAAGGTTGCCCCACGGCACTCCAGCCCGTGCAACAGGCCACGGGGAGGGTGGGGTACCGTGGAGACGGGGTCAGGCTTGGCCCCGACAACTCAGAATTCCACTTCCTTGTGCAGGCCTCAGTTTCCCCACCAGGCCCCCGGGGAAGGTCTGAGGGTCGGAGGGACATCCAGCCACTTGGGAGCCTGAGACATTCAGCATCATGGCCAGGCTCCCTTTCCAGGGGACTCATTGCCCGGCACCCTCCCCACTGTCCCTGCCCCATTCCTTGGCCGCGGTGGGGGGGGGGGAAGGGGAGTATTTTTCTTTTGTTACTACTTCCTGAAACTTTTGCGGGTACAGAAACCACAAACTGATCGGGTGACGAAAGTGAGAAGAGACGAGGCAACCGGAAATCTTCGGGGATCGGTTCCCTCCAAGCCCAGGCCTCTTCTCCCCAGCACGGCTCGGCCCACAGCCTGGACGTGCCAGCAGGGACCCTGACCCTACAGGTATCAGGATACAGCCTTGACCCCTTCCCCTCCCAGCCCGGTGGCTCAGTCCTGGGAAGGACCAAGGGGGAGAAAGCCCTGCTGCCTGATCCCAGCAACCACTCACAGACCCTCAGCTGCATGGCAGCACTGAACAGGTTAATAAAAAAAGATGAAAACACAGGGCCGGGCGCGGTGGCTCAATCCTGTAATCCCAGCGCTTTGGGAGGCCGAGGCGGGTGGATCACGAGGTCAGGAGATCGAGACCATCCTGGTCAACATGGTGAAACCCCATCTCTACTAAAAATACAAAAAACTAGCTGGGCACGGAGTGTGCACCTGTAATCCCAGCTACTCGGGAGGCTGAGGCAGGAGAATCGCTTGAACCCAGGAGGCGGAGGTTGCGGTGAGCCGAGATCGCGCCATTGCACTCCAGCCTGGGTAACAAGAGAGAAACTCCGTCTCAAAAAAAAAAAAAAAAAAATGGTGAAAACAGAAAAACCCAGACGGGGAGATGGGGAGACGACGTGGGGAGAGAGTGTGCTGGGAGCCTCAGTAGCCCGCCTCCTCCTGGTGGTAAGGGGGATATTCAGGGACCTCCTCCGGGCCCGGGCAGTCGCCAGCATCCGAGGGAGCCCCGTCGGCCACTGTGCCCTGTGGGCAGTACTTGGGGTCGTATATCTGCCGGCCCAGGCCGAAGACCTGGCCGCTCTGGTTGGCGCCCTGGGTGTAGCCCATCTGCAGGGACATGGAGGAGTTATCACACTTGTCGGTTCCCAGTTTGGTGTCATAGATATGCCGCCGCGTCCCGGGAGCCGTCATGCCCACCTGGCTGGCACACTTGTTGGTGCCCATCTGGAGGCTGATGGTCGAGTGGTCCATGGGGGGCAGGATATGGTTCTTGGGGTCGTAGAGATGCCTCCTCGTGCCATATGCGGTCATGCCCGACTGGCTGGCACATTTGTTGGTGCCCATCTGCAGCCCGATGACGCACTGGCCGGCCTTCATGGTGGCGTCGTCGAAGTTCCGCTCCTGCTTCTCCGAGTACTTGACGCCGATGTCCACCCCGCTCTGCAGCCCCTTAGTCTTGGCCTTTCCCGCCAGGGCGAGCAGAGACATCTGCACCTGCGTCATGTTCCCGCTCTCAAACAGGTCATTGGCCTCGAACAGGTCCACGGCGTTGATGCCGTAGCTGACCATGGCCTTGATGAAGTTGGAGAGGTTTTCTAGCTGATGCCAGTTCTGCATGGAGCGGTTGATCTTGGGGACTGAGCCCGGCTGGAGCTTGTTCATGAGTGTGCATAAGATAATCCCGTCCTTCAGGCCCTTCTGGAAGTCGGGGCCGACGGAGAGCCCGGTGAGTCCCTCGATCCAGCTTCGGAGCTCTGCCTCCTTCTGCGGGTCATACTTGGACAGGAGCCGGTTCTTGACCTCGGCCGACAGCCCGTACGAGGGGCCCTTGTTGAACTGCGTGGAGCTCATGGCTGGCGGGACGGGGCCGGACGGGACGGGACGGGACGGAGCGCGGGGCGCGCGGGGTGGGACCCTCGTGGCTCCTCTACTTATTTTTTAATTTAAACTTTTTTTACTTTTTTTTTCAATTTTTATTTTAGATACAGAGGGTACATGTGCAGAATTGTTACACAGGTATATTGCAGAATTCTGAGGCTTGCAATACAACTGATCCCATCACCCAGGTAATGAGCACAGTACCCAATAGCTAGTTGTTCAGTCCTTGCCCTCTTCTCTCCCTCACCTCTCTTGTAGTCCCCAGTCCATTTCTGCCATGTTTTTGTCCATGAGTACTCAATGTTTAGCTCCCACTTACAAGTCAGAAAATGAGATACTGGCCTTCTTAGCCTGAGTTAACGTCATAGGATCGTCTCCAGCAATATCCATGTGACTGTAGGAGACTTGATTTTGCTTTTTTTATGGCTTGTGTAGTGTTCCAAGGTGTATATGTACCACACTTTCTTTATTCCATCCATCACTGATGGGCATCTGGGTTAATTCCATTAATTTGCTATTGTAAATATTGCTATGATGAACATACAAGTGTATGTAATTTTTGGTAGAATGATTTATTTTCTTTTCAATGTCAACCCCGTAATAGGATTGCTGAGGTAAAACAGTAGTTCCAAGTTCTTTGAGAAATCACCAGACTGCTCTCACAGTGGCTGAATTAATTTACATTTCCAACGGTGTACAATTGTTTCATTTTCTCCACAGCTTTGCCAGCATCTGTTGTTTTTTGACTTTTTAGTAATAGTCATCCTGACTGGTATGAATACAGTTCGTGAATCTTTTCTCCCATTCTTTAGGTTGTCTGTTTACTCTGTTGATACTTTCACTTGTGCAGAAACTCTTGTTTAATTGGGTCTTACTCATCAAATTTCATTTTTGTTACAATTGCTTTTGAGAACCTAAATTCTTTCCCAAGGCCAATGTCCAGAATGGTGTTTCCTAGGTTTTCTTCTAGGATTCTTATAAGTTAATGTTTTACATTTTAATATTTAATCTATCTTGAGCTATTCTTTGCATATGGTAAAAAGTAGGAGTCCAGTGGCATTATTTTGCAGATGACTAGCCAACTATCCCAGCACCATTTATCGAATAGAAAATCCTTTTCCCATGGCTTATTTTGGCAACTTTGTCAAAGATAAAATGGCTGTAGGTGTGCAGGTTTATTTCTGGAGTCTCTGTTTTCTTCCATTGGTCTATGTGTCTGGTTTTGTTTGTTTGTTTTTACCAGTACCATACTTATAGTATAGCTTGAAATTGGGTAATTTGATGCCTCTGGGTTTGTTCTTTTTGCTTAGGATTGCTTTGGTTATTTGGGCTCTTTTTTGTTTCATAGTAATTCTTAGACTTTTTTTTCTAATTCTGTGGGAAAAAATGACGTTGATAGTTTGATAGAAATTGCATTGAATCTGTAGACTTCTTTGGACACTGTAGCCATTTAATGATATTGATTCTTTCCATCCATGAGCACAGAATATTTTTCCATTTGCCTGTGAGGTATGATTTTTTTCAGGAGTTTCTTATAGTTTTAAGAAACTTACTAATAAATTGTATTTGTAGAAATACTGTTAGTTTCAATGCAGAGGGGCAGATACAATGCAAAACAGAAAACTGCCTTGGACTCTAAAATTACTATGGGCTGGAAATAGCCTGAAAAACTATTCAGTTACCAACACCAGCCACTTATTACGAAAAAGAAAGGATGACTTAAAACATGGAATCATGATATCAGATATTGGAGTTAAGCATCAAATAGTATAAATGCCAGGTAGTAGGCATAGTCTTAGTTAAGAGACTGAAAACATGTCCAAATGAATTTCAGAATTGCTTGAGAATAGTTATACCTGTGGGCTGTCTATTTACCCCCTTTTTGAAATGAATGGCTTTGTGCAGTTATCCTATGTCTGTCCAACTAATGTATGTTGGGTGTCTTGGAGGCTGAAACTTACCTCTTTAGTTCACAGGTCTTCCACAGGAATTGCAGTTGAAGAGCTGTACTTTATGAACCTAACCTGTGGTACCTCAATCACACCTGAACTAGATTAATGACATTTTAGTCTGTTTGGGATGCAATAAAAAAATACCATAAATTGAGGCTCTTATAAACAGGAATTTATTTCTCACTGTTCTAGAGTCTATAGTTTCCAAGATCAAGGCTCCAACAGATTCAGCATTTGGTGAAGGCCCACTTTCTGATTCACAGATGGTGCCTTCTCACTGTATCCTTATATGATAAAAGGACAAAGGGGTCTTTCTTGAGTCTCTTTTAAAGGGCACTAATCCCACTCATAAGAGCACTGTTCTTTTTTTTTTTTTTTGAGATAGAGTCTTGCTCTGTCACCCAGGCTAGAGTGCAGTGGCACAATCTTTGGGAGCTCCATTCTTGTAACTCTCTGTAGAGAGATACAGAAATAAAAAGAAGAGGTCCAAAGACTAATCCCAGAGACATTTCCAACATGTAGGGATCCAACAGGTGCAGGGAAATTAGCAAAGGAAATTTTAGGCAGTGGCTATCCAGAAAGAAAAAAACAGATACAAGTGATCTGCTAGAAGCTAAGAGAAGAAAGTGTTTCAAAGAGGAGGACTAATCAATAGTGTCAAATGCTGCTGATGGATCAAGAGGGATGAGAACTGAGAATGTGAAGTTCACTAGTTGCCTTGATAAGAGTGGTTTGAGGAAATCTAATTTAAGCCAGTTTAACAAGCCAGAGAGGAGAGAAATTAGAAGCAGTGTGTATAAAGCACTCTTTAAAGGATTTTGTTAAATGAGACAGTAATTTGAATGCAACTAGACCCTCCTCAGAAAGGTGCTGATCTAAGAATAAAAGTATATTATTCCAACCTCTCAAGGAAATCTACAAGCTCCAAACACGATGGTGAAAGAAAGTACTACCAAATATATGTGTATTCCATATTGAAAAGCTGAGTGGCCAGAACCGACAAGAAAAGGAAACCTAGCAAAAGCATCAGAAGATCCATATAACTTCCAAAATGATGTACCAGCAGTCCTGGCTGCCACACCGATTCACATCTTCACATAATCTCCGCAATAAACATAAACAGAGCCAAAGAATCTCAGCAATCATATGATACTGTGCTATCATATTGTGTCAGACAACTGTTATATTGCTTCTTATAATCACAAAATTAAACCATAAGTGAGGAAGATGATTTTTGGATTCCAAGAAAAAATATGTTCCTGCTTCTATGTCTACTAAAGTCATTATATAAATGATAGATTACTGTCAAACATTTTGAATGCTTAGAAACAAGGACAAATTAATTTGTGTAATTATTACTACCTTATGAGATGGAAAAGGCAGACATGGGAAGTTAAGAATACATATATCAGAGCGTAATGTTTTGCCATTATGGAAACAAAGATTAATAAATCTGCTATGGTTTAAATGTTTGTCTCCTCTGAAAATCATGTTGAGACTCTTCAGTGTTACAGTATTAATAAGTAGGGATTTTAGGAGGTGATTAGACTGTAAGGGCTCTGCCCTCACAAATTGATTAATTCATTCATGGATTGATGGGTTCTCACGGTAGCGGGTTAGTTATCACAATGGGTCGTCAATAGAAACCAGTTTGGCTCTCAGTGTGCTTCGGTCCCTGTGACGCTTTCTACCACATTGACACAGAAAGGAGAGCCTCACCAAATGAAGCTCCCTGACCTTGGGCCTCCCAGCCTCTAGAATTGTAAAAAAATAGATTTTATTTTAATTATAGATTACCCAGCCTCTGGTATTGTATTATAGCAATAGAAAATGGACTCAGACAGAAAACCGATACCCAAAGTGGGGCTGTTGTAATACTAAATTCCTAAAAATGTAGAAGTGGCTTTGAAACTGGGTAATGAGTTGAGACTAGAGGATTTTGGAAGAGCAAAGTAGAAAAAGCCTATTTCACCATAAACAAAGTATTAAGGCAATTTTGATAAGAGCCTAGAAGAAGACAAAAAAAGAAAAAAAAAAAAACTAGGAAAAATCTGGGACTTCTTAGAGATTACTTAAGTGGTCACAACCAGAATGCTGACAGAAATGTGGAATGTAAAGGTCATGCTGATGAGATCTCAGATGGAAAGAAAGAATAAGGTATTGAAATCCGGAATAAAGTCTGTTTTGTTAAAAGATAGCAAAGGTCTTGGAAAAACTGTGCCCATGCCCTGAGGCTAAGATATCTGGGGGAAGATATTTTTAATCTCTAAAGCATTCAAGATGCTGCATAGTTACCTTTGGTTGCTTACAGTGAGATCTGGGAACAAACAGATGATTTAAAGACAGAATTTATAATAAAAGAGAAGTAGAATATAGAAATTTGGAAAATTCACAGTCTGGTCACATAAAGAACAAAAAGCATGTTTGGGTTTGACTAGTACTGATAGAAAAGAACCAGATGCTATTTATGAGAACAAGGGGAGAAAAATGACATGCTAGAGATCTTTGAAGCGGCCTCACTTGACCTCAGAGACCCAGAGACCTAGGAGGACAGGGCCAAAGCACCCTCCACAAACTCACTGCTCAGAGCCACCTCAGGACTCTGCTTCCTACATCATGCTGCAACATTCCTCGGCTGCTCCAGCTGTGGCCGGTCTGCTGCTCTGAGAGATACAAACTAAACCTTGGTAGCACCACACCATGGCTCAAGAAAGCCCAGTTGTGGCTGGTGCTGCTACTCCAGAGAGCACAAGCATTAAGACTTGCTTGGTGTCAATATGTTGCTAATTTTGCAATTGTGTAGAATGCAAAAACTGATACCATCGTGGCCTTCACCTAAATTTCAGACAATGCATTGAAAAGCCTGGGGCCAAGGCAGAGACTTCTTACCGGGATGGATCCACCCCTGAGAGCCCCAACCAGGGCAACGCTGAACTGAAAGGTGGAGTGAGAGCCAGGATTGCTCTTGAGATTACACAATTGCCAGGTCACTGGTAGCATATAACGCCCATCTGGGAAAGCTGCAGGGACCAGTGTGCAACGCCAACCCAAAAGAGCTGAAATATAGGCTGAGTCCGACGAAA